GAGTCCATCGTCTGGCTCCTCCGCGTCGAGTTCATCCGTCGACGACATGGACGTGCTAGTGGCCGAGCAAGTGACCTATGTCGAGCCGATCACCAAACCGCATTTGATCCAAATCAGCTCGGGCAAGTCCTCGATGGACGAGGACGACGGCCCGGCGCACGACCTGAACCCGCTCGGTATGTCCAGATCGGCCCTGAAGTCCGCAACCTTCTTGGACCACGAATACTCGCCAAAAACACGACCCCGCCCCGACAGTCTGCTGCTGAGCGCTCGCCGCAGCCGACAGCTCTCCGGGCGGATTATGACGCAGCTCGAGCGGACGCCCTCCCACGGGGCGGATGCAGAGATCAAGTCGGGCGCCGCCACCAAATCGGCGGCCGACGTGCCTCCGATCCCACGCCCTCTATCGCTGCACTCGCGCTCCATGACCTTCTGTCGTTCCAAAGCGGGCGCCCCGGAGAAGGGCCCGCTGTCGTTCGCAAAGAACCACCTTCGCCGCCCGCCCTCGCTCCAGAGCCTGCGAAGCCCCCACTTCTCTCTCTTCCCCTCCCGACAAACCCCCAGCTCCCGGGAGGACCACCGATCGGGGTCGTACTCCTCCACCAGCTCAGAGTACTCCCCCAACACTCTCTGCCCCGCCCCCTACTCCGCCTTCCCGAATCTCAGCCGCGACCGCTCCGACTCGAGCTTCAGTGGATTCAACGGCCCCGCCACGCGCCGGCCATCCATGCCCATGCTCGGCGCGCTGAAAAGCCCCGGCGGACTCAGCACCAGCTCGACCAGCAGTCTGCGCTCGGAGGTGGACAGCGTCTACGACGTGGAGCGGCACGAGGCGGACTCGCAGCGGTGTCACAAGCGAGTCAAGAGCCTAAAACGCAGCAAGCACCCCAAGGATGAGTCAGATCCGTCTGCTAAGAAATTCATGGGCTTTATGTTTAAGAGCAAACGCCGGTCGAAGATGCTGAACGCTTGATAATGCCTACGCCCACGCTGCCACGGCTGTTTTGCTTGGAATGATCATATACACGATCTGTTGGCCATTATACTGTTAATACTGTCTTTTCCCTTTCATCTCGCCTTTTCTTTCCAATAGCCTGTCTCTTTCTCATACTCTTGTTTTACAAACGGTGGCGTTCGGTATCGGCGTGGTCGGCTATTTGCTTACTTCGGTGCTTTCTTTCTTCCTTGCTTGTTTTTTTTCATCCTTCTTACGTTACTAGTCATCCACTACTCAATTGCATTGAGTCAGTCAGTACGTCTGTTCTTGTATTATAGTATATTCTGCTTCAATCTATTGATAGTGACCGGACCCTGGGTGGTCATATCTATTCGTCATTTGAACTCTTCCTATTCAATATTCTATAATCTCTTTTTTCCTTTATCTTCCTAAAGTAAGCAAAATCTATCTATCAACTCTACCGTGGAACATATTCCCGGCCCCAACAAGACCCACCCTACCCTGAGCAACCCATTCTTTGTTGGTCGCACACACACACACACATGCCGTACAACCATACTAGAGATCGCATGTACCACCGACCCTAGTACTTAGACCGTCCCGAAACACAACGCGAAGCACGCCACCTTGACTAGTTGATTGACGGATGCGTACAGTAGGTACCTACTTACTTACTTACCTATGACCCGGGACGGGAGTGACTGAATGAGTAAGTGAGACTGTAATACAGTAAGAAAGTAGAGGGCGTACGACAAGGGTAGGTACATTTCTGGAACGAGTCAAGGAAAGTTTAAATCGGGGATTAATATCTGGTGATTCGACTTCTCATTAGAAGGGGGATGGGTCGGGGTCTTGAGTCGTGTGGATTTTATTTTTTTTATTGATGGTGTATGTATGTATGTATGTATGTATCTGGATCTTGTGGGATTGGTTAGTAGGATGGACGGGGTGGACTGCGCCGGGATTACTGTATGTTAAATAACTTATTAGGAGATTCTACGAGTAGATTGGGAAATCATATAATATAATATAGATACAATTAGTAGAATAAAATCAAAAATAAGTCAATATCTACTATCATCTCATATCTAGCCACAGGAGTCTAGTACCTGGTAACGAGTTAGTATGCTACGTGGACATCCACCATCCTCCCATCCCTCAACAAGGCGCAGTCCAGGCACAGGCACAGTCAGCCCTAACCATACTATTACCGTATAGTATATCCTACTAACCCATTCAGTCACGAGCCGCAGACATTTCATACATTCGATCATTTGATGAACTGTCTTCTTCGTCTTTTCTTTTTCTCTGCTCTAGACGGGGTTTTTTTTTAATGTAGATCGAATGTGTCTGACTGTATGTTGGTGGCGCTTTAATCAGGTCCAAATCCGTATATTACGACTACGGTGGAATTTTACCCCGGTGTGAGGATGAGGAGGGGTGGAGTTGTAGGCGAGTCAGGTTATCATATCTGACTCGCTACTTGCTAATCTACCGACGGGCTATTTCAGTTACCTATCTGCTGACCCGCCTATCCAGGTTACTGCCGGTTTGTCTGAGTAAGTACTTATAGTGGTAGGTTCGTCTTACATGAATCAGGCTGTAGGATTGATACGGGGGTAGTTGGAGTGGGGTGAAGTGATAGTAACATGGGGCCCGATCCTTTGGGAATGCCGGATTACTGGTGGAGTGGTTGGTAGATACGAGTCATGCTGATTTTCAGCTTTGATCTGTTTATTACCCATGCAGAAGGGACGGGGTATTTGCTATTTCTCAATGATATTATAAATTCTTTGACCCATGCGGGGAAGGAAATGTGGGGTACAGATAATGACTGGCATGTTCGTCACTGCCGCTGTCCTACATGCTCTTCAATTAATCAATGATACATGTTGTCAACGGCTATATACAGTGAAGAGAATGGTGAAGAAGGAGATGATGAATGGGATACTCACGGTGTACTGCATAGTGCAGAGCAATCAATTTGCAAACAGCAGTGTGTCATGAAAACTTTTCATCATCACAGTTGTCTGTCTTTGAGAGAGGGAAATGTAGTCTATTTAAAGCCTCCTTCTGTTCCTTCTCTTGTATCTTCCTGACGATGAGGCATATATATATTGCCTTTTTACTTTCGTTATATACTATGTTTATACCACTTATCCCTGAGCTCAGTACGACACTGCTATAGAACTGTGGAACAGACAAATATGTCTGGAATAACAAGGGGAGCTAGCTCTTCATGGAGTCAGTCTCCCGCAGGGATTCAAATACTCCCTCGCTATATCTGACCAGTTGGTCCAATTTCTCGCAGATGGACATCTACTGTATCTCCATCTATACATCAGATACGTGATATATCGCGCACAACTACCTGGAGCAGGCCAACGACGCGCTCCAGACTTTTCTCTATATTCCAACAACATATACATACGTATACGACCGGTGAGTACCTCCATGCTTGCCACCACCAGTATGACACGAGAAACTGACAGCCTCGTCAATATCTGCAGGTAGTAAGTGCGATACGTTATCCGGGTGGGGTCCGAATGGATTAGACCTGTCATTTCAACGGCTCCCCAACGAGTTCGTATTTGAAAATAGACCTTGCTGATGGCACCTCTAGGCCTGGATGGCTAAACTCTACCTGGGGACGCTCGGGGCTGTCGTTCCTTGCAGATCGTCTGTCGTGATTGCATGGAGTGGAGGAGGCGCGAATGGCCTGGTCTGAGGATATTGCTTAGATACGGAGCCGACAGACTTGTCCGCATGGCACAGCGCTCGTATCCTGTTGATGAAGTTGAGCTGGTAAAGATCGTTGATTCTCTAATGAAAGAAGCGATGAAGATCTCGCTTATATCTAATCTACGTCACCTGAACCAAGCAAACGAACGAATGAGGTCCTTTCAACACCTGTTTCTGAGGCTAAACGAGCCCCGAACTCGCAGGTTGCAATCGTGTTGGGTGGTGGTGGCTTTTTTACATACAGCTTCACGGAACGCTGACAACAGATCTCGGGGCTTCCCATGAATGTCTGTCCCATTGGATAGACTTCAAAACCAGTGTGTACATTTTATCTGTGCTTGTATGCTTACAATTAGCAAGCTAACCTATTCAAGCGCTAGGGCCAAGACAACGATGGGGTTATCCTGCTGGACAGTACCTCGAAGGCGATCAGACGCCTTGAACAGACACGCACATAAATTGGCACCTATGATATAGCTACTCATTATACGAGAGATGTCTAACACTGCAAGAACCCACATTGTGGACGATACTAAGTCCTGTATATATGCTCGAGATGATACCGGGCATCCGATGCAGGGTGCTGGTGTGGTGCGATAGGTGCGATAGGTTAGATGGAACCAGCGCGCTTCTTGATTATTCGAATGATGGGCTGACAAAACATGCTTTATTCTTAGATATTCGTCTGAGACTTTCCCGCGCTTGACTTGTTGAACAGTGCAGAACTCTTCTGTCCTAAGAAACGAATCAAATCGATCATGTGTCAAACAAGTCAGATAGAAACCCCGCTACTGCTCGAGTTGTGCGCGGGGATGATATGAACCTGGTCTTCTTCCTCGACGACTGCACCATCTATGGTCAGGGTAACAACGACTATATTTATGTGACGCATCCCTTCCGACATGATATATCCTGGAGAGATCCCTCTTCCCCCCCAACTGCTGCCGCCCGCCGACGAACCTAAGGTGCGTCCGAGTGCCCGTGGTTTGTGCCAGACAAATCAGGGCTGTATAAATTGCGTCTAATGTCTGCAAAGACGTTACTCCTACGCTTGAGTATGATACACTTCCGCTTGTGTGCTTGTGTGGAGTGAGCTAGCTAATGAATGGAAGTACATGTTCGCCTGCACTCTCAAAACTCGCCGACCAAATTGATGAAGTTGAGCTTGGTCAAGATCGTTGATTCTCTAAAGGATGAAGCGATGAGCTCTCGCTTATGGCCATCTACATCACATGACTAATACAGGAATGAAATCCTTCAACAAAATCTTTGTCGCCTTGGTCCCTGTGGACTGGCGCTCATGGCGCAAAGCTACGCTGGAGTGGCCGCGTAGGTGGTCGATACGGCCTACCGTCTCCCGGGGGGCACCGCAGATAACAGCGCAGTATGGACGAGCGATGTATTCACGGTATAAACGGGGTCAATCGGCCTACTCTCATATACCGCTCTACCTTTATGGTGGAATTTGGTTTGATGGTCATGACACCATGATGATTATCGGCGACTGAATTGACCTGGGTAGAGCCTGGGGCACTACTGCCTTTTGTGGAGATCGTCAAATGCAAGCCTACACTGTGGATCTACGATTCAGGTTACAACTATGGAAGCTCCATACTAGGGTGTATCTTGTTTCATTCCAAGTTCCGCATTCCCTATAGGTCATATATATTATGTCTGTCGCCTCCAATAAAAGAGCTCGGCTATTCTTGACAAAGAGGTAAATTAGCCTTCTCGCAGCCCGGCGGCGGCCGCCGCCGAAGCCGCCGCCGTCGCCCCCGTGGCTCGCCGCCTGGTCGTCCCCGAGGACGACCCGCCCCCCTGCCTGCGCTGCGTGCGGGCTGCCGCACGTGGCGAGGCGGGGGTGGCTTGCGCTACCAATGCGAGGCGCCTGGTTTGCGCCAGGTGCCAGCGCGGCCGCCACCCTTGCCTCAGGGTGCGTGATATCTCTTCTTTTTGGTGAAATCCATGGCTGATAAACTGCGGTATAGGTTGAAGAGGGGCACCTGACACTCAACTGATGACGGCTTGTATATAGATGTGTCACCAGACCTAGTCCTCGATCCTGACCATCATCCGGAGACTCCCACGATGACCGACTGGACGTCCCTCCAGTGCTACTCCCCAGAATATGACTTTCGACATTAAAATTGCGGCCAGGATGTCAACATGGACACACTATTGGCCCAGGTGATGGACGACACAGCTCTGAGCTATTCCGGTCTAACAATGAGCTTCATGATACCCTAACGACCCTAATGTCTGCTGGTTGTTCTCAATCACAAAGTCTCACGAGTCCGATCCCAAGGTCGCAGGTCTCATGGATTTTTCGGTCATGAGTACCTGCTCAAACAAGATGTATCGCTCGGCACAGTCGGGCGATAAAGTTGATGAGGGATTCTGCATCACGGAGGACAAGTAAATTAGTGTGAACCCCCATAATATGCTACAACAAGACGCGTTTAGCTATATTGACACGAAGACCCGATTCTACAACCTTGTGATATATATGCAGATCACCATGATTGATGACCACACTCTGACCCTGGCATGATACTTGTATCGTCAGTGGCACGACCATATAACCCAAGATCGCCATTATTCGGGATTTACTGCCAACCGCGCGATAAGTCTGCACTATGCCAGCAATTTATTGAACCGAAACATCACCAAAGATGGTACGGCGCTTGATGTGGTCATGAACGCACATGCCGCGTCCAAGAAGGCCCAGAGAGATATCGACTCCATGCACTGCTTGTCTTGTAAAAACACCCTTTCTTCCGCAATTGGAACTCAGCGACATTAAAACTATTGTGTGCTTGCGAACAAGGTTTCTTATTTCTCCATGAAGCCTGAGCGAGCAACGACCCACTTCAACCTGGAACTATGCACGAGAACTATTCTACTTCTGAGGGGTTTGGCGAACTGTGGACTTGATGCTGTTGCCCTTTCATTCTCCGCCAAATGTATACTCGATGAGCCAGCGTCACCTGAGAGACGTGATTCACGAGCTCACTACAATATATTCAAGCTCAGAAAAGACGCCACATACAAGAGATTGAGGAAGCTATGTCGCGCGATGTACTTTTAATCCCATTGAATACGGCCAGGTGGAAGACAATCGACGTTAAAGATCGACTTTCAAGACAACAACGGATACGTCACCAATTTCAAAGCGTGCTGGGCCATTGCAACTTTAAGAAGATCTCCTGAAGAACCACGTACTCTCATGTTGCTGCAGAATCTTTGAAGACAATTAATCGCTTTCATCACTGAGGCCTTGCTTACCAACAAGTCAACGTCTGCACGGCATACCCCCACGCAGGCTACGCGGAAAAAGAATAGTAGCCATCGCATAAGAAAAAACGAATTTGCTTCTTGACCAGGCTTGATATGACTGATATCCCAACAAAAGGTTTCTATGGTCCTTATCAAAGGATTCGAAGAACACCTCACTATTCAACCCTCGCTTATTGTACCCATTACCCGTCGTCTTTTTGAAACCCACTCAACACGATATCTTCACACCTCACTTCAATCTTTGTATTGTATTGGAAGATACCGGTCTTCGACTTCGATGACAAGAAAACCGTGAAGAAGCGGTGCTTCAAGAACAGCCTATTTTATACACAAGTCGCTGTCTCGCTCATACGAATAAGCCGCTAGATCGTGAGGACAATTCGAGCTGGTGCTAAGATTTATGAACGGTCTCTCTCAGACCTGGCTTTCTAACATCTTCAAGGCCATCTCAAGCGTGAAGTAAGTTGCTATTACACCCTTGCTACTGTAAATACTGACAGCGTGTTTGGCACTCCGTTCAGCGATTAGCAAAGACAGTGTGCAGTTCAATAATAAATACTGCAGTGTCAGCTAAGATAAACTACAGCTGGGAATCTCATACACTGCTTCAGGTAGGGACTGGTGTTTTCATTTACTCACCCCCCTCTCTTCCCTCCTGCCACTCCCAGTGGCTTCCCTACCCATATCCCTTCCACTATCAAAGCAAATTTCGATCCTTCGATGAATGGTGAGTCGCTCTACACTCCTGCAGAGCGACAGCAAGCACGATAGCATCCCGGTTGTGCTCTCTCCAGGTTGTCTTCTGAGCAACAACGACAACACCTCAAAGAGGGCGACGACAGCAACTATCCCGGTACTTGCCTAATGCAAGATACAAATACAGAGGCCATAAATACAAGAAAACGGCTCTAGCACAACAAAAAAGGGACCATGAAACTGCCACTGGTTCTAACAACACGTCCATCTCACCCGCTCCGCGCCTGGATCTACTCAACATCCGCGATGTGCACGTCAGAAAGAGACTTACACCCCAGGATCTGGCTACCAAGGTCCAATTCTACATTATATCAAATGGCCACCGGTTGAACGTGACGCTGACATATCGTGGGAGGACAACGTCGACGACGGGCTCACCCAACCCTTGGATAGAGTCAAATTCACGCGCTTCCTTAAAAGATGGGTATGTCAATTCCACAGATTTTGTGAGATAAGCCGATTGTATGGTCATTTACACCCTAAGAGACTCCACGCCTTCAATATCACCTAACCACTGACGTAAACAGGGACCTCAGAAAACCCTATCAAACCCAGGCGCTGATCTTGGTCAAACCTACGGACCGCGTGTGCCCCAGTCTATTACATTGAAATTGTCACGTTCATTCTTACCACGGTAATCGACAAATCACTCCTTCTAGACTGCGTTATCTCTTCCCTGAAGCCGCCGTCAGCTTCTTCCTCTCAAGTCTCCTCTCGTGTCAATCTGCTCACACTTTGTTGATTCTCGCTCGCAAATCCTGGACCCTTGATTGAACTCAACGCCGGTTCCCAGGACTGACATCGCCGCAGAGCCAGTGTCTCCACCTTGTTCTCCATCAAAGAGAAGAAAGAACAGGCCATTCTTAGGTCTCCTATAGAGAAATTCTGGTTGATCCCATATTGAATACCTGTTTAAGGGTATGACACCATTTGTCGTGTTCCTGAACACTCTGAACCGTTTTGTTCTGTCCATGACACCCAGGATATCATACAATCTTCTAGTCGATGGAGGGAGGCCCCGCAGAAGATATCACAGCAAGTATAGCATATCCAGCATGGCAAGTCCTCATAAGGAATGCAACCTTGGCGCACTCCACAACTCCACTGCAGTCGGCATTAAAGCCAGTCATGCATGACTCATCTGTTGAAGATCTCAGTGTTGCGCTTGAACCGATCACAAAAAGAAAACTAACAACACATGGAAATACCCTTGTTGATTATTTACCTACCGCCTTGAGACCTTTCCAGGAATTCTCAACAATGGGGTATATGGGGGGCCTGACTTGCCTGGCTGATACTAACGTGCCTCACTTTGCGCGGATATCTGTGGCAGCTTATGGGATGGTTGGGATTTACATGTGTGGATGGATGACAGCTTCGCCTCTTGTGTATGGTGTGGGGGGGGGGGGAGGTTTGGGGTACTTGTGGAGGTGCTGGGGTTTTGATGTATTGTAGTCTTTCACAATATTGCAATATTATTTATGACTCTGCCTCGCACTTGACGTATCTATAGAAAGGAAGAGCATTGCCTCTATGCTCGCTCATCCAGCTAATTAGGGCTACGTACCACTCTCACCTCTACAGTTCTTTTTACCCCCAAAATAACCATTCAATAACATATGTGATTGAACTATTTTGTCAACTAACGACACGTAATAGCTACTCGCTAATGTATATAAAACTCATAAGACATACGAGTTCGCATTCGCCTTCGCATTGAGCTCCCTTTGCAGATAACTAAACTGAACCTTTGAAAAACGTAGCCAGTTCTCACTTTCGTGCTTCCAGGCTGGTTTTGATTGCTGTTGATACTGTTAGCTAATTTTGCCTAACCTGTGTACTATAAGAGAGGAAGACTTGATTTACCATCACAAGAAGTCTTAGCATCTCCGAAGAGCATCTTCGTTCCGTCCATGAAGAACATTGGGTTGGGGACGTCGGCTACCGTCTTCATTAGTACCTTTACTTTATTCTTTATGAAGGATAGAGAGGGACGAGGGTAATACCGTATCCGCTTGACATTCCCCGCTTCATCACGATGACTTCCTTGCTCTTCCACGCTTGCAGAACTGGCATTCCGGAGATAGGAGAGTCCGGCTCTAGCGCGATGGGATTGACGGTGTCATTGGCGCCAATTACGAGGGTGACGTCCGTGTCGGTGAAGTCGTCGTTGATTTCGTCCATTTCGAGCACGACTGGTTTTGTTAGTTTTATCCTTTCTTTGTTAGATGGGGTGGGGGGTTTAGCATACTGTCATAAGGTACCGATGCCTCCGCGAGCAGCACGTTGCACTGCCCCGGCATGCGGCCCGCGACAGGGTGGATCGCAAAGCGAACTTTGACGCCGCGGGCGCGTAGCATGTGCACGATCTCTGCTAGAGCGTACTGCGCTTTGGCTACTGCCATGCCGTATCCGACAACCTATGTGGGTTAGCTGAGCTTTCGGGGGAGGATGGGTTGGGACATACGATGACGACGTTCTCGGCGTTGGTCAGCGCTTCGGACACGTCGTCCACGGTGGCCGTGGTGATCTTGCCCTCGATTTGCTTCTGCGCTTGTTGTGGTGCGGAAATCCCGCCGAATAGAACGTTGGTGAGAGATCGGTTCATCGCGACGCACTAGATTATTAGCATGGGTCGCCTCCTATCGGGTTGGGGAGCATACCATGATGTAGGACAGGATAGAACCGCTGACGCCGATCAAGGATCCGACGCTCGTAAGAAGTGGATTGTCAAGCATGAGACCTTCGGCCACCAGGGCAAAACCGGAGTATGCATTGAGCACCGTGATCACGACAGCTGCCGATAATTAGCGACAATCTACAACCGTCCAAGGAAACGTACGCATATCCGCCCCGCCTATAGCGGCAGTAGTCGTATATCCCTTGATAAAACTGAGGAGGGTACTGGCACCGAGACAGGTCGCTGCAATGGCTGGATTGGCCGGCGCCATGGTGAGGAAAGCTC